GCTCAAAATAAAGGGATTGGCCAGGCATGGTGGCTCATGTCTGTAATCCAAGCACTTTGGGAGGCAGAGGTGGGCAGAACACAAGATCAGGAGTTTGAGACCAACCTGACCAACATGGTGAAACCCCGTCTCTACTAAAAATACAAAAATTAGCTGGGTGTGGTGGCATGCACCTGTAATCCCAGCTACTCAGGAGGCTGAAGCAGGAGAATCGCTAGAACGTGGGAGGTGGAGGTTGCAGTGAGCTGAGATTGTGCCACTGCACTCCAGCCTGGGTGACAGAGCGAGACTCCATCTCAAAAAAATAAAAATAAAAATAAAAATAAAAATAAAAATAAAAATAAAAATAAAGGGATGGAGGAAAATCTACCAAGCAAATGGAAAAAATAAATAACAGGGGTTGCAATCCTAGTTTCAGTCAAAGCAGACTTTAAACCAACAAAGATTTAAAAAGACAAAGAAAGGCATTACATAACGGTAAAGGGTTCAAATCAACAAGACCTAAGTATACTAAATATATATGCAACTAACACAAGATCACCCAGATTCAAAAAGCAAGTTCTTAGAGACCTACAAAGAGAGTTAGACTCCCACATAATAATAGTGGGAGACTTCAACATTTCACTGTCAGTATTAGACAGATCTTCAAGGCAGAAAATTAGCAAAAAATTCAGGACTTGAACTCAACATTGGACCACATAGATCTGATAAAGCTCCGCAGTACTCTCCACCCCTAAAACAACAGAATAGACATTCTTCTAATTGCCACATAGCACACACTCTGAAATTGACCACACAATCAGACATAAGACAATCCTCAGCAAATGCAAAAGAATTGAAATCACACCAAACACTCTCCTGAGCCACAGTGTAATAAAAATAGAAATCAAGGCTAAGAAAATTGCTCAAAACCATACAGTTACATGGGAATTAAACAACCTCTTTCCGAATGACTTTTTGGTAAATAATGCAATTAAGGCAAAAATCAAGAAGTTCTTTGAAACTAATAAGAACAAAGATACAGCATACCAGAATTTCTAGGATACTCCTAAGGTAGTGCTAAGAGGGAATTTACAGCACTAAATGCCCACATCAAAAAGTTAGAAAGACTTCAAATTAACAACCTAAAATCGGAACTAAAGGAACTAGAGAAGCAAGAACAAATCAGCTCCAAAGCTAGCAAAAGACAAGAAATAACCCAAATCAGAGCTGAACTGAAGCAGATCAAGACAAAAGAAACCATTACAAAGATCAATGAACCCAGGAGTTGGTTTTTTGAAAAAAATAATAAGCTATGCTGTTAGTTAAACTAATAAAGAAGACTAGAGAGAAGATCCAAATAAACACAATTATAAATAACAAAGGGGGTGTTACCATTGACCCCACAGAAATACAAATAACCATTAGAGACTACTATGAACACCTCTATGCAAAATACTAGAAAACCTTGGAAAGATGGATAAATTCCTGAACACATACACTGTCCCAAGACTGAACCAGAAATAAATTAATTCCCTGAGCAGACCAATAATGGGGCTTTGAAATTGAATCAGTAATAAATAGCCTTCCAACTAAAAAAAGCCCAGGACCAGATGATTTACAGCCAAATTCTACCACATGTACAAAGAAGAGCTGGTATCATTTCTGGTGAAACTATTTCAAAAAATTGAGAAGAGACTCCTCCCCAATTCTTTCTATGAATGAAATATACCAAAACCTGGCAGAGACACAACAAACAAAGAAAACTTTAGGCCAGTATCCTTGATGAACATTGATGGAAAAATCTTCAACAAAATACTAGCAAACCAAGTTCAGCAGCAAATCAAAAAGACCAATCCACCCTGATCAAGTAGGTTATTCCTGGGATGCAAGGTTGGTTCAACATACACAAATCAATAAATATGATTTCATCACATAAACAGAACTAAAGACAAAAACCAAGTGATCATCTCAGTAGATGCAGAACAGGCTTTTGATGAAATTCAACATCCCTTCATGTTAAAAACTCTCAATAAACTAGGTATTAAAGGAACATACCTCAAAATAATAGGAACCATCTATGACAAGCCCACAGTCAACATCATATTGAATGGGCAAAAGTTGGAAGCATTCCTTTTGAAAACCAGAACAAGACAAAAATTCCCCCCTCACTACTCCTATTCAACACAGTATTGGAAGTCCCGGCCAAAGCAATTAGGCAAGAGAAGGAAATAAAAGGCACCCAAGTAGGGAGAGAGGGAGTTAAACTATTCTTGCTTGTAGATGACATGATTCTATAGTCTATAGAATCAATCCAAAAGCTCTCTCAGCTGATCAACAACTTCAGCAAAGTTTCAGGATACAAAATTGACATACAAAAATTACTAGCATTCCTACACATCAACAACAGCCAAGTCAAGTGTCAAGAACACAATCCCATTTACAACTGCCCCCAAAAGAATAAAATACATAAGAATACGGCTAACCAGGGAGATGAAACATCTCTACAATGAGACTTATAAAAGACTGCCCAAAGAAATCAGAGATTATATAAACAAATCAAAAAACATTCCATGCTCATGAATAGGCAAGAATCAATTCCATTAAAAAGGCCATACTGACCAAGGAATGAAAAGATTAAATGCTATTCCTATCAAGTTACCAATGACATTCTTCATATAACTAGAAAAAACTATTTAAAAATTTATATGGAATCAAAAAAGAGCCCAAATAGCCAAGGCAATCCTAAGCAAAAAGAACAAAGCTGGAGGCATCATGTTACCTTACTTGATTCAAACTATGCTATAGGGCCACAGTAACAAAAACAGCATGGTACTAGTACAAAAACAGACACATGGACCAATGGAACAGAATAGAGAACCCAGAAATAAGGCCACACACTTACAACCATCTTTGATAAAGCTGACAATAAAAAGCAAGAGAGAAAGGACTCCCTATTCAATTAACGGTGCTGGGATAATTGGTTGGCCATATGCAGAATATTGAAACTAGACTCCTTCCTTACACCATATACAAAAATCAACTCAGGATGGACTAAAGACTTAAATGTAAAACTTCAAATTATAACAACCCTGAAAGACAATCTAGGCAATACCATTCTAAATATAGGAACTGGCAAAGATTTCATGATGAAGATGCCAAAAGCAATTGAAACAAAAGCAAAAATTGACAAATAAACTAAAGAACTTCTGCCCAGCAAAAGAAACCATTAACAAAGTAAACAGACAACTGACAGAAAGGCAGAAAAATATTTGTAAACTATGCATCTAACAAAAGGCCTAAAATCTAGCATCTTTAAGGAACTTAGATTGCAAATAAAAAACAAACAACCCAGTAAAAACGTGGGCAAAGGACACAAACAGACGCTTCTCAAAGGAATACATACATGTTGCCAGCCAGGTGCGGTGGCTCACACCTGTAATCCCAGCACTTTGGGAGGCCAAGGTGGGCAGATCACGAGGTCAGGAGTTTGAGACCAGCTTGGCCAACATCATGAAATCCCATCTCTACTAAAACTACAAATCTAACCGGACGTGATGGCGTGCACCTGTAGTCCCAGTTACTCAGGAGGCTGAGGCAGGAGAATCGCTTGAACACCAGGGGGAGGAGGTTGGGGTGAGCTAAGATGGTGCCACTTCACTCCAGCCTGGGCAACAGAGCCAGATTCTGTCTTAAAAAAAAAAAAGACAGACATACATGTTGCCAACAAGCATATGAAGAAAAGCTCAATGCCACTGATCATTAAAGTTGTGCAAATCAAAACCACAATGAGATACCATGTCACACCAGTCAGAATGGCTATTAATAAAAAGCTAAAAAAGAACAGATACTGGCAAGGTTGTGGCGAAAAGGAACCCTTATACACTGTTCGGAATGTAACTTACTTCAACCATTGTAGAAAGCACTGTGGCAATTCCTCAAAGAGCTAAAAAAAGAACTATCATTTGGCCGAGTAATCCCATTACGGTATATTCCCAAGGGAATATAAATTGTTCTACCAAAAGACACATGCACAAATATGTTTGCTGCAGCACTACTTATAATAGCAAAGACATGGAATCAACCTAAATGTCCATCAATGACAGACTGAATAAAAAACATGTGCTTCTTATATACCATGGAATACTATGAAGCCATAAAAAAGAATAAGATCATGTCTTTGCAGGAGCATAGACGGAGCTGGAGGCCATAATCCTTAGCAAACTAATGCTGGAACAGAAAATCAAATACCACGTGTTCTCACTTATAGGTGGGCGCTGAATGATGAGAACACATAGACACAAAGAGGGGAACAACAGACACTGGGACAAATTGAGGGTGGAGGGTAGGAGGATGAAGAACATCAGAAAAAATAACTATTGAGTAGTAGGCTTTGTATGTGGGTGATGTAATAATCTATACAACAAATTCCCATGACATGATTTTACCTATATAACAAACCTTCACATGTATCCCTGAACCTAAAAGTTTAAAATAAGTAAAGAAATAAATAATAAAATTAAAAATAGGCAAAAGACCTGAATAGACATTTCTTAAAATAGAGATACAAATGCCAACAGGTATATGAAAAAATGTTCAACATCATTAATCACCAGGGAAATGAAAATCAATACCACAATAAGTTATCTCACCCCAGTTAGAATGATTATTATCAAAAAGATAAAACATAACAAATGCTGGTGGGGATATGGAGAAAAGGGAATACTTGCACATTGTTGGAAGAAATGTAAAATAGTGCAGCCAAAATGAAAAATGATATGGAGTCTCCTCATAAAACTAAAGATAGAACTAACATATGATCCTGGAATTCCACTGCTGGATATATATCTGTAAGAAAGGAAATAGGTATATCAGAGGGCTACCTGTTTACTGCAGCACTATTCAAAATATTCAAAATATGAAATGTTTTTCAATGGACTAACAAGTGATGGAATATTATTCAGCCACAAGAAAGATTAAAATCTTGTCATTTGCAGTAACAAGGATGGAACTGGAGATGATTATGCTAAGTGAAATAAGCCAGGCACAGAAAGACAATCATCACATGTTGTCACTCATATGCAGGAGCTAAAAATGTAGATCTCATGGACCTCGAGAGTAGAATGGTGACTACCAGAGGCTAGGAAGGAAAGTAAGGAGGAATAAAGAGAAGTTAGTTAATGGGTACAAAAGTACAGTTAGATAGAAGGAATATGCTCTAGCATTCGATAACATGGTAGGGAAATTACAGTTAACAATAATTTATTGTATTATTCAAATTAACTAGAAGAAAAAGATTATGTTTCCTACACAAAGAAAAGATAAATGTTTGAGGTGATGGGTATCTCAATTACCCTGATTTAATAATTGGACATTGTATCAAAATATGACATGTACCTTCAAAATACGTACAATTATGACATATCACTTTTACAAACATAAAAAAGACTTTCCTGGGGCTTGAAGCTTAGTAGGAGAGACATACGTGATCACATCCATGCACGCGTGTGAACACACACACATACACACACATAATTTTCAACAGAGAGGAGTAAAGGAAATCACTCATCAGCCTGAGTCAGAAGTGACTTCACTAGAATTCAGACTGGAAGGTTGACTAGGAGTTAATAACTGCTTTGGCATTCTGAGCCACATCACTCCCCATTTACAAGTTAATACTCCTTTCTGTGCAGAACACAGTCAGGGTGTTTCTCTCTTCAATTGTTTCTTAACATTTACCAATATAAGTGATAACTGTGTGCCCAAGGTCAAGTCTGGCAAAGCAGCAGAAGTGAGGCTGAGAAGGGTGGAGGCTCTGGAGCTTAGTCTATGGAATCAATAAAAAATCATTATGAGGTTAGGTTGTGGTTTTCACAGAGACAATATAACCATGTTGGAATTCATATTTTGTGTGGCACAGGCTCTGGCCAGCTATTCTCCCCAGATGACCCACAATAGGAGTCTGAAATACACAATACCTTCATGAGATCACGGTAGACATTATTATTACTAGCCCTGTTTTCTGCTGAGCCAGCCTGGCTCAGAATCCTTCTGAGGAATGTCTTCTAGGTGTCCTTCACCAGTTGGCTACAGTCAGCATGAGAAGAATTCTATTTGCCAATGTGAGCATAGGTAGTGTATATGCTGATAGTAGCATCTATTAATAAATTCAGTAATGGTTGCTGGTGAAGTTATGTAGTCCCCGTCAGTGAAAAAATGAGCTGTGATATCTTAGAGCTGTAACTTTCAAACCTTAAAACAAAGTTTAATACCTTCTTTCTCTAATATAACTTTGAAAAACTGGCAATGAATCATAACTGCAGTCTATAAACCATATAACAAAAGAATTAATGTGCTCGCAGCTGGAAGTGGATTCTCCCCATCTTGGTCCTAATGTTCTTATGTTTTTCAAACATACAGAAAATCCCGAACCATCCATGGAATCCTAACCACTATTGACACATTCTGAAGACCACTGTCCCAGATGATTGTCCTGACATGACTTTTGACTATGGTTCATAGTTTGGGGGCTCATGAATTATAAGATTCAAGTTTGATTGATACCCACTGGCCAGGGTCTTCTAAGACTACAAGAATGGCACTGGTCTAAAATGTCTTCATAGCTCACATCTTGGTTGATAAAGACACTTGTTCACAATTCAACTGAGATTTAAAACATTTTTGGATCAGGGACATTGATACGGTTTGGCTGTGCCCTCTCTCAAATCTCATCTTGAACTGTAATTCCCATAATCCCCATGTGTGGTGGGATGGACCCAGTGGGAGGTAATTGAATCATGGGGGTGGTTTTCCCCATGCTATTCTTATGATAGTGAGTAAGTTCTCATGAAATCTGATGGCGTTTTAATGGGCTTCCCCTTTGGCTCAGCTCTCATTCTTCTCTCTCCTCCCATGTGGTGAAGAAAGATGTGTGTGCTTCCCCATCTGCCATGATTATAGGTTTCCTGAGGCCCTCTCAGTCCTGCAGAACTATGAGTCAATTAAATCTCTTTCCTTTATAAATTACCCAGTCTGCAGTATGTCCTTGTAGCTACATGAGAATGAACAAATATAGACACCCTTTAAAATCTAATGAAATCTATTGCACTTCTTCCTTTAAAAAATTCTTAAGCAAACATGGACACATTATTTGACATACAATTCCAAGGACTTTAAGGACCTTTAGAAGCTCTTGATTTAATGATAGAGGCAGTCTGGAAGATGGAGCTCCTGGATGTTTATAGTTAAAGAAAGAAAAAAATGAGCTGATCCTGGACAGGACCACGGGTATTGGGCAGGAACATGAGTTTTCCATACAGTAGTATTGAGAATTTCTTTTCTCTTAAAAGACCAGTGCTTATTGTGCTTATTAGAGAAGGCCCTGGTATAATGTTCACATCCAAAATATAAATAAATGGTAATTTGCCTTCATCATTGTTCCCTCTCTTCTCTGTCAGCCATTCCCATCTGCACCTATAGGAAATTGGGTGTTAGATCCAAAGGCAGTGGTGGATCAGCAAGGACATGACCCTACCCACCTGGGTTCACAAAGGCTGTCCTGGTCTGGTCTGCCAAGTAGGCTTTGTCCCAATGAGATAGCATCCTCTAAGCATGAGGCAACTTGCACAACTTCCTCATAAGGATTTTGAACACTTTTCTATGGTTTTATCCATCAAGAAGAGCTCTGGTACTGCAACCTGTTAGAAAGATCGTAAGTTTAGAAATAAATCAGAATTGAAAAGCTGTGCTTTGGAGCTGTGATTCATTTTGATGGGGAGAGGTCATACCCCTCTTCTGGGGCCCAGAGGGTACCCATGAAGTGGGTGCACACTAGCATTGTGCTCCAACTTGCTCAATGCTAGTGTTATGCAAGTTGCCTGTAGTTGAATTAGGTGCTGTAGACTGGGGTTTGGTGAATAGATTTTGGGGCAAGATCAAGTAACTGACTGTCGGTTGCTGCTGGTGAAGGGTACACAGGTGTATTTTACAGATGACAGGAGGCTGGATTAGGCACTCCAGGTTAAGCTTGGTGAATAGAATTAAGAGCAAGATCAGGAAATCCCTAATTGGCTAGGAGTGATGGAAAAAGGGAGGTCATTGCTCATGAATAACCAATAATGGGAATAAAATTGTACCTTTGCTGGATAAACAGCCCCCTCTGGAGAAACTTAGAGATACATGGCATGGCAGATAGACAGGAAACAAGCTCCTAAAACATGAAACTGTGGTCACATATTGGTGAAACCACACAAGCAGTGAGGCAAGACTGAGACATGGTCAAGAACAATAGTTGGTATTTCTTGTTGGTGGTCAAGCTGTCTCAGCATAGCCTGCTTCAGTATCAGAGTTTATTGTTAAACCAAGTGGCTCAGCATTTCCCAGGCAACTTCTTAGCTATCTCAGCATTTGGTGTTAAATGGGCTACTTCTTGGGGACTTGAGGTTTTCCGCTGACACCTCAACACTTGAGAGACTTCTGTAAATTTACATGAGGGAAGATTAGAGCAGTCTAGAGAAAGAAAAACTCCTGGGCATAGACTTAAGAGGTTGAACAACAGACAGGCCGAGAGCGTCAACTAGAAGCTACTGGAACTTCCTCTAAAGCAAGCTAGAAGTCTTTAGGTATTGTAGGTAGTGAGGGGAGGGGAAGAACATAAGTTTGAAATGGAAAGACTGAAGAATAGAAATTTATAATTATAAGGGTTAGGGAATAAGTTGCTTATATGCAATTCTTCAAATTGTGATATAAAATACATTTTGCAATAAAATAGTTAATATTTATTCTTAACATTGTAGTAAAATCACATTTGTAGCAAGACAGCTTAATTTAGTTGAAAAGAAGTAACTCTCCGTGTCAGTTATAAAAAAGTCTAACTGGAGCCAAAGACACCTAGGCACCACCATCCACTGGGTGATAATACGTCTTAATTGAGAAAGTAAACCTGGGAATGGTGTTTCTCAACTGGAAATATACATACATGCCCTTTTTGTCAAAGTAATATCTCCTGTCCCCATGACTGGCTACATAAATTGTTGACTATGAAAGAAAAATGCTAGGCTCCTTATTCAAAATGCAGGAAAAAAGCATTTTCCTTTTTTCTGTTGTCTTTATCGACCTGTTATGGCATTCTTTGTTATTTAACATCAAACTTCTGTACCCTCGATGGCATCCAAGGGTCATATACCATGACTTGGTGTGTGGGTTGGACTCTATTGCTTCCTAGACCTGTGCTCTGACCTCACCTGGGGCAAGGGTAGCAGGGTCACTGGGCAGGGGTTGGTGCAGGCAGCTGCAGCCTTTACTGGGGAGGTAGCAAAGTGGTGAGAAGCAGGTGCTTCTGAGCAGAGGCTCCAAGCCCCTGCTCATGCTCTATCACCCCATCAGACTTCACTTACAAACACAAATTCAAAGATAAAAATAAGAACATCAAAACTGCAGAGTACTGAGCCTCATGTGCAGGACGGGGAGGGAAAGGAGCCCTTCTGAGAACTCCTAATCAAACCCTCATTAAGCTGGCCCTGCTCCCATGCCATCACAAATTTTGATATATTGTCCTTAGTTATGACAAAGCCACTTTGTCATAAACTAGTGTGTTCTTCAATGTGTTGGTCATCAAAATCGTCTCCAGAACTTTACACACAGATTCCTGGGTCACACCAAAGAGATTTCTGTTGGATTACAGAAATCCAACAGGAATGTTGGAAGAAATTATTCCCTCATCACTTCACATATTTACTGAGCCCCTACCAGGTTCTAGGCCCTGGGGTAAGCTTTATGCACAGAATGAAGACAATAGCAGTCAACATCTCTGTCTTTGTGGGCCACATAGTCCACTGAGGAAGATTGTCCAAAAACAAACAAACAAACAAACAAAAATCTAACCATATTTTGTGGAAAGAGCAGTGAAGAAAATACACCAAAGGTAACTGGGAAATGTTTAGCCTGGAGGAGAGGATGGATGATATTTAAAGCCTACAGTGAGAGTCACCTCTATTTATAAGAACCTTCTCAAATAATCCTGATTATTTACCAGGGTTAGAGTTTTAACTAAAAGTCCGACTGCTATCTTCACCATGCAAGAGGAATTTGGCAAATCCACCCTCTCTAGTGTGTACTATGAAAGCAACATGAAATCACTAAATCCTATCATAATAATGAATATGCTTTTCATATGATAAGTGCTCTGTAGAGATTTCTCCATCCCACCTCTTGGTTGTGAATCTGCAAATCTATTAATCTTCCAAATACAGTGATGACATGTTTCACAGGCACCGAGAAGGTATACTATGGGCCAAGGCAAGGTTGTAGCATATGACAGAAATGTGGCCTAAAAAACCACATCTCTTAATTCCCAGTCTGTGAGAGACCACAGATGTCGTCACATGTCCGTAACACTTAATATCGAACATGAAGCTTCCTTGTTGCCTTCATAGAATCACTTGTTATCTGTCACAGTGTAATTAATGATGGCTGTGGCAAATGGGTCAGTGTGAGGGTAGGGATCTTTTTGTTTTTAACACAGAGAAGCTGTAAGAGACACTGTAGTTCCTCAAAATGCCTAACAAATCTTAAATGCATATCTCAATTGATCTTTTCTTCTGTTTTATGACTACAGTGCCGCAACTGAACTAGGGCATGAATAAACAGGCCTAAAAACCTTCACTCATGAAAGTTGGGGATGGTAGACTTGCCCTTCCACATTTCAGGACATCCAGTAATAGAGAATGATGGAAAGGTGATGTCGAAGCAGAACTTTCTGAACCAATGAAAAATGTGGATCACTGGGAAATCTCCAATAGGATACATTTTAAAAATATCATCACCTAGATACATTGTGTTGGAGCATTGGAGTAAAACAACAAAACTTAATTAGACCAAAAGAAAGAACAGAGAAAACCATTGCAAAATCAGGAGATGCAGCATAAAACAAAATTGTAGAAATAAATTCAGATCTATTAGTAATAGCAATTACTATAAATTCAATAGACTTGACAGTTAAAGTTATAGATTGCTAAGCAGAATGAAAGAAACATCTAAATTATGAGTAGAGAGAAAGGTCAAAAGTAAAGGGGAAAAGATATACTACACCCCAATCCACTAACATCATGGTGTAGAGATAGGCCAGTCAAGATAGTCTTCAAGGTCAAATATCATTAAGCATAAAGAGTATTGCTATATGATGATAAACATTTAATTGCAAACTATAAACTTTTTAGCATAGCCTCAAAAAATGTATAAGGCCATAAATCTACAATAACAGTGTAAGAATTTACAAATTCCTCTGAGCAACTGATGAATCAAGCAGCAAAACATTTTTATGAGTGTATTTAAAGTTTAGATAACATCATTAGCAAGCTTGAGATTAAGAAAAATGACCCCCAATGAAAGAATAAACCGTATTCTCTATTATACAAGGAGCAGTTGTCAAAATCAACCTTACCCAATAAACCATATTCTCAATTATACAAGGGAGAGTTGTCAAAATCAACCCTATCTACAATTTTGTAGAATTTTTATCATCTAGACCATTTTTCCATGTCAGAAATCAATAATAAATAGTTACATAGGGAAAATTTATATCTTTGAAAATTAATTTTAGAAAGCATTTCTAAAGAACTCATAGCCAAAGGTGAGTAATAACAAATACATGCCCAAATTGCAAGATACAATTGAAGCATGCTTTCTGGTGAATTTACAGCTCTAAATGCTTATACTAGAAAAGAACAAAGTTGAAAATAAATGAGCTAAGCAACTCAAGAAGTTAGAAGAACAACAAAATAAACACAGAGAAAGCAGAAGGAAGGAAACTATAAAGATAAGGGGAAATTAATTAAATGAAAAACAAATATACAGTAGAGAGAATCAACTAAGGCAAAAGTTCATTTTTTGAAAAAAACTAATAAAATAGACATTTTTGGGTTCTCAGAAAATATGAAACAACACAAATAAACAATATTAGAAATGAAAAAGAAAACAGTTATAGATAATGTTGACTAAAAAGTAAAACTATGAAATTAACTTTTGACAAACACAAAAACTTGGATAAAGTGAGAATTTCTTAGAAAAGCTACAGCTTAAGAGTGGATTCAAGATGAAATAAAATGCATGAATCTTCTTCTCCTCATTATATAAGTTTAATTAAGATTGGAAAGGTACTCACACAAAAGCCAGTTCCACATGGTTTCAGAGGTAATTTAAATCAAACAGTCAGAAAACCCTAATTTTTCCTTGAGAATCAAAAAGAGGGACATCTTCTAATGGTTTTACATGAGACTAGTATAACCTTGCTACCTAAATTGGATAAGGAAAATATTAGAAATGAAAATTATGGGCTAATCTCGCTTACAATCATAGATGTAAAATGCTAAATAAAACATTATCAATAAAATAAAAAATTAGATCAATTTAAACTGGGTTTTCCCAGGAATAAGAGGATTATTGAAAATAAAAGAATCAAAAGAATAAAAGAGGAATTAGTTTAATTCTTCAAACAAGAGATGAAGGATCATCTCAAAAGATGCAGAAATATTAAAATATTAAACACATTTTTATGATTAATGATGTAAACGATCTCTCAATGCACTGGTAGTGGAAAGCATCCTAGTTTGGCTTCCCCTAACAGCAGACACTGAGGCAGAGAAGCCAGTGCCTCTAGTATTTGGGAGATGATTCAAGAAACATGGATGAATCTCACAGA